CAGAGGGAGTATTCAAAAATAGGCAAAAATATAGTCTGGGGACTATGTTTTACCATTTTTTATGTGTTTGGTGTATGTTTGGGGTATTTTTATTTTTTCGTTCACAATCCCCCTGTAGGAGGACATGCCCGACCTAAGCTTAGACAACGTCTCAGAAGGCCGGGGGACTTCCGAGCCTTCTGAGAAGGCCCGCCCTTCTCACTTCCCCCCTTGCTCGCCGACGATGAGTGTCTGGCGCGCTAGTCGGGCTCGTGGATGGGGGCGTGGCTTGCGAGTTGGCGCGAACGCTTGCCATCATGCCCCCCCCCCCAAGGCAATGAGTTTGGTGAGCGCACCAATTCGCCCAGCCCTACAGTCGGGGCGCTGAAGAAGGAACCCTTTTCGCTGGGGAGGGGCTCGGTGTTCTTCGATTGCTTCACAGTTTGCCTTGGGTTTTCCTAAAGGGTTTCCCATGGGAATCGAAGCTTAACTTATTAGAAAAAGTGGCCTCGCTCCTTATCTAGGGTTCTTTAGGTCAACGCCCCGACTGTACTCCTCCATTCTCCTGTTTCTCCTCATCCCTGCCGCTCCCCTGGTCCGCCTCCCGTTCCCCCGCCCTCCTCTGCCGCAACCCTCCCTCCGGGTCCAGGCCCCAGGCCTCGGGTCAGGCGATTATGGGATATTGTGGGGAGGGGGATTGGGAAGGGGGTGGTGCGAAGCATTTGGTTTTAGTTCCTCGGCGAGGATCTTGACTCGATAAGCTGGCGCCGAGAAAACACCTGCGTGAGCTGATTCGCTACGCCCCCCCCCCTTCAACCCATCTGCTCTCCCCCTCCCACTCTGCGTCCGCCTGGACTGTTGGAGGGGTGCTCTTGGGAATCGTTCCTCGTCCTCCCCTCGCTCCTCGCATGCCCTTCAGGTGTTGGAAACGACTCAGCAGCATTCACGCAGAATGTACGGTTTGAGCCTCCCCTCCCCCTCGAATGCAACGTTGGTTTAGGAGTGTCCGAGCAGTGTTGCGCAACATGTGCCAATTTTGAATTGCGGGTGAGGGGAGTGATGCTCAATTGTTTCCCTCAACCGTTGTACTTTTGACTCTTTGGCCCATCCTTGTGCAGTTCTTGACGCTTCAAGTTTCGGGTGCCCCCACCAGTCCGTCCAGAAAAAGTGCCAGCCGAGTTTCTATGATCAGAGAAGTGCAAGAGCAAGCAGTGGAACAACGAGGGGGCAGCCGTCAAACTGAGTTTATGGATCAGCCTGCGCAGAGAAACCCCATACATGCCTTCGCGGATCTTTCGATTGGAGGCGTGTTGTAACATTATTTGGACCATATCGGGGCCATTTGGGAGGCCTTTGGGGCTCTCTTGGGGACTTCCCAATTCCATGGGCGCCACGCATCATGAAGGGAGGGCCCTTACCCAGTGCGTCTCGTCGAACCCGCAAAAACGTCTCTTGGGACGCTCTAGGACTCCCTTGGGGCCCTCTTGGAGCTATTCTGGCCTTGTGGGCCCCTCTTGGGGCTCGCTCTGGCGATCGTGGCGCCCCCTTGCGGCCTCGGAAGCACATCGGGGGCGAGAATGCGGGACGTCGACGCAGCTCGCGTTTTTGGTGCAAGCTGCGGGGCGTCCTCGGGAGACTCCGAGGCTGCTTGGAGCCGTCCTGAGGCCTCTTGGAGACATGGTGGAAGCCCTCTTGAGCCAACCTGGGGCATACTGTGCCATCATGGAGGCCAGTAAGGCATAGTGGGTTATCTGGGAGCAATATTGGCCCAGTAGCCTCCCAATGATCCCCCTGAGCGAAGAGTTATTCGAAAACCTTTGGTGCATCAATCATCATGTAGTCTATGACTCGTTTGTTAGTTGTGTGTGCTCTCTCATATACCCGAATCCCGCTACCGGGCGCCCCAGGGCCGCCGATCGCCAGGCGCACCCAGACACCCTTGAGTGACACTTTATCTCTCATGGCTTCTCTGGACCCTCCCCCGGGCTCTCTCCCTCGGCCCTGGTTGCCCCGCAAGTCCCCAAGTGCTTATCAAGATGTAGCAAGAGAGTTGCGAGACGGCCTAGGTTGCCAAACGACGGTCTCCGTAGCCATTTTGGCTCAAGGCTCGGGCGAGGAATCCCAGTGTCTATCACGGCTTCTTATGCAGACGGCTGATAATGGTGCACGCACGCGAGGGTGAGCAAACAGGCAAGCGCTCTCGGCCTCGTTCTCCACAAGCAAAACCGAGCTTGGAGGCGACACCAGCAGATGCAGTTCAGAAGACTACGCGGGGCAGCGCTAGCAGCGTGAGCAGCGCCAGTAGCAGTTCCGACGCAAAGAAGGACAAAAAGGACAAGAAATTGAAGAAGAAGCTGAAGAAGCAAGCGAAAAAGGATAAGAAGAAACAAGAAAAGAAAGAGGTCAAGAAACTATTGAAGAAGATGGAGAAGTCTGAGAAGATGAAACCTCAACCTCGTATTAACCTCGTTGCTACTGCCCCAGCAGCACGAGGCTCTTCTAGCTTGAGTTTCATTGAGCGGTTGGCTTCTGTCGATTCCTCCGAGTTGGCCAAGGCAAACAGAATGGATACGCAGAGCCAATCTGGAAAGGCCAAGGATTGGGACTGCCCAGAGTGTGGTAGCCATTGCTTCGCGTCAAAAAGTACCTGCTTCAAATGTGGTGCAGAGCGGCAGGATGGTTTCGCCAAGCGAGAAGATCCCACTGCTTGGACATGCCCCGGTTGTAAGGCCAGCTGCCGAAAAGGCAAAAGCAGTTGTTTCAAGTGTGGTGCAGAAAATCCAAACGAGACAGCCTCAAGCCAATTTAGGAAGGCCAGGTGAGCATCGGCGTATGCAGCTTTATCTGAAGGACTTTGTCCTCTGCCGCCGCCCCCCCCCCCATCCCCCTTGAGATTGCTTGCGTGGCATGGCCACGCTCGGTTGGTAGGTCGACTGGTTTTCTTGCAGGTTGGCTCGCTGGCGACTCGTCTGATTGGCTCGCTGTCCAATTTGACATCGGCGTCACCCCAAGTTACTACTACCATGTGTGCGCCGCCCCTTCCCAGGGGCGACGCGCGCACCGAGAACTCTTATAGTACATGCGTCGTGGCGGGCGCTTTCTGGCCACACTGCTCGGGAACCGATATACTACATATGTGTATACTGTATGTTCGGTTCGGACGCGCGCCTCCAAGAAGGACCTATAGTACCTGTATGTCTCTGTGCGTCCCATGATAACTCGCGATTGGTTTGGGTTTTTGCTGGCTGGCTGGTTGCGCACATCAGTTCTTGTTAATCAAGGGTGGTGGCTGCGGGAGCGCGCTTCCAATGTGATTTACTGGGCTTCGGGATCGCGCGCCCCTACAGTGGAGACCCATGCCAAGAAACACCCTGCTTGCCTCAAGGGTGCCCTGGGTGTCTTGGGTCTCGATGGTTGTGCTAAGGCAAACGTGACGTTCCTACACCAAATGTCCATGGACGTCCTGGGGTCTCAGGGTTGGGTTTCTTGTGGAAGGTTTCTTGTGGTCGAGCCCCGATTTGCTCCATTAATCAGAGATGGTGGCTGTGGGAGCGCGCCTCCACTGTAATTTATTTGGTTTCGGGATCGCGCGCCCCCTAGCTATGTGCGGGGATTCGTGGCCTCGAGCCCCGAACCGAGTTCTCAGGAAACGACGGGGGAGGGGCAAAACAGCGCCCCCCCCCAAAGTGCAGACCCATGCCAAGAAACTCCTTGCTTGCCTCCAGTGTGCCCTGGGTGTTTTGGGTTTCGATGGTTTTGCTATGGACAACGTGACGTCCCCACACCAGAAATCGATGGACGTCCTGGGGTCTCAGGGTTGGATTAGTTTGTGTTATGTTTCTTGTGGTCGAGCCCCTATTGTAAAACAAACACGCAATGCATAACATGTTAGCCAACGTGTCTCGGGGAGCGCGAGCCTGACGTACTTTACATACGATTGTAGCCTGAAGCGCCAAACCGTCGCAACTTACAAAGGATTGTTGCCTCGCGGGCGCAAGTCTGCTGTCGTGTACACAAGGGGAGTGGCTTGGGGAGCACGAGCATGGCGTAGTGGATGAGGGGTTGTGGCTTGGGGAGCGCGAGTCTGGTGTCATGTGCTAGGGATTGTTGCCTCGGGGGCGCGAGCGCGGCGTAACTTAAAAAGGAATTCTGGCTTGGGGAGCGCGCGTCCGTTCTATTTTACGTATCCCAGAGCCCCCCAGACATTCCGAGGACATGATTTGGGGAGGAAGCCGAAGGGTTTTCCGCCTCCCTCTTTGCACGGTTTTCAATCACAACATCAGTGGAAACAGACAGACCCTAAACCATTCATTTTGGAGCTGGATCTGCTGCAGGGAACTGGAACACCTCCGCCTCACAGCCTGATGGCCTCATAAGGAGGCCAGCGCATCTGCTGGTCAGAAGCACTGGGGGTTCAACCCGGATGCGAATAGTGCTGGTTGTGTGATCTACAATTTGGGATGTATGTGTCAGAATTGTTCATGCATTGGGGGTGATGCTGTATGTCTGCTCACACTTCAAGCTACCGTCCGCCACTGTTGCCGCACTACGACAGACATTGGTTGCACCATCTCTCCATGTCGGGTTATGATATGCCTGTGTATCTGTCTACACGTGTGACCCTGTCTCGGTAATTGTAATTGTGCAACCATGTATTGCTTGACCACGTATCAATGTTAAACGACCGTGCCGGAAGTGATTGCATCAAGACGTGATTTCAGTGGTGGTTTGAATTCCGCAGGCGATAGTAGCAACGATGGTATTGAGGGTGGGCTAAGCAAAAAAGGAATACCATAGAAAAGGATTGCTTCAAGACGTCCCAAGAAGCCCCCATCGACGATCCAAGAGGGGCCCAAAATGACCCCAAAGGCCCCTCCATAGCCATTTTGGCTCAAGTCGTTGTTCGGCCCAAGGGGATTTGGCTGAACGCTCATTTGGGGCTCGGGCTGCCCCAGTGCTCGCCCCAGTGGCGTGCGTGACCCCGCGCCCGGACAGGCATTCTCCAGCGTGTTTAGCGGCGCATGGCGGGCTGCGGCCGCACGTCTTTCAGCGACATGGTCGAGATCGTCCAGTTCGACGCGGAGGACGTGGTCAGCAGCCACGACAGTTCCCAGTCCGTGGGCAGCACAGGCCCACCGTGCTCGGCGAAGCTGCAATCCTGCTCGTGCCCAGTGGAGATGGTCGTCCTGGGCGGCCGCGTCCCTGGGCGGCTCCTGCAGCAGGCGCCAATCGCCCGCGCGGCGATCTCCTGGGGCAGCTCTTGCAGCGGCGTGCCGGAGGCCGCCAGCCCGCCCGGCGGCGAGTGCGCCGCCCCGGACGGCGACGACGCGCAGGAGGCGCCCGACGAGAGCGCCCTCGCGAAGGCAGCCCAGAGGCGGCGCATCCGGCGCAGCGTCACCGCGAACCAGGGGCCAGGGCTTCCCCAGCACGCCTTGTCGCCCGTGACGATGTCGAGGATCCTGTCGCGGCGCCTCGGGTCGGCTCTCAGTGGGGTCGGCTCGGGCAGCGCGGACGGCTGCATCGATTGCTCTGCCGAGTGAGCTCGCCGAGCAAGTTCGCGTCTCGCCAGGCCAGATGCCTTGCCCTATCAGCCTGCATGGCTGGGAGGGGGCCGGCGCTTGCTTGGCCGTGCCATCTTCATGGTTTCGGGCATCACCCGCGTGCTTACATGATGCATCGGCTTGCCAGTTGCCGACATGTTTGAGCGAATGTTGGCAACTGCGGCGGTGCGAGCTTGTATATCATGCGTGCCAGTGCCGTGCGGCGCTGTACTTCTCCCGGTAGACCCGGTAGGCCACACTTTCGGGTGAGCCACGCGAATTCGCTCATTTCTGACCCTCAGCCGGTGGAGCTGCTGTTTTCGGTGGGCCACATTCTCGGCCAGCACAAAGGCTGTCTTGTTGTCGGTAACGCTTGTATATGGAGCTTGCTTCGGAGCTTATACTCGCGCTCGAGCTCGAGGCTACCCCTCAACAGTCGGGGAGCCATCTAACGTTTCGTCGTCGGCGGCCCGAGTGGGGGCCTCGCCTGCACAGTGTGGCGCGCTCTTATCTGATACAGTCCGCTTGGTGCGTGAGCTTTTCCCGCGGCTCCCTGGCACTCCCTCTCCCTTCTCTCACCCTTGAGCCTGTCTGTGAACCCCCCTCTCCTCCTCCTCCCTCGACCTGTCCTCTGACGCCTCCCCCGCTTCTCCCTCCTCCTCCTAGAGGTGCTTTGAGAACGCTGTCCCCCGTGTCCTCGGGTGCGAATCGACCCCCCCCTCCTCGTCCTCGTCCTCGGCCTCTGAGCCTCCCTCCTCCCTCGTACGACCTGGATCGGAGCTTGGAGGCCAGCATTCTCAGACTGGTCGGACGGGCTCCGCATCCCACTTTTGAGACGCACCGAAGGACGATGGGCTAAATCAGGGTGGTCGCCTCCTCTCTCGCTTCCGTTCTGCACAGTTAATCTTGGCCTACTGTAGTAGCATCACACTCTTGTCGGGGACCCTCGGTGGCATTAGGGGTACCTCCGATTCTGATGTCCATCGTGGGGCGTTTCTTGCCCCCCCACGGCTTTCGCCCGCTGTTCCGCGCACTCGAGGAGCTTGGGTCATTTAAGAGGCCTCTGAGTGGTTCTGCTCTGTCGCCGATGAACTGACACCCGTGCCCCTGATGAGCCCGCCGCCGCCGCCGCCCTTTCTGCTCCTCCTGCCCCTCCCCTCCCTCCCCTCCCCCTGTCCCGCCAGCCTCGCGAATCCGTGCCCGCGGCCTTTCGGGCCTCCCGGCGGCGCAGCCGAGCCCCGGGGGCGGGGGGGGGCGGGGCGGCAGGCGTCGGTCGGAGCGCAGAGGCGCCCGCACGAGGGGTTCGGGCAGTGCCACGGCACTACTTGCCGCCGCGAGGCCACAAGGGGCCTCGCCGTTCTGGACGCTTCTTCTCCTCCCCCTCCTCCTCCTCCTTCTCCTCCTCCTCCTCCCCCTCCCCCTCCCCCTTCTCCTCCTCCTTCTCCTCCTCCTCCTCCTCCTCCTCCTCCTCCTCCTCCGTCGACGCCTTCGATGCAGCGAGAGAGGGAAGGCCAGTGGCAAAACACACTCGAGACAAGCGTCACTGGGAAACGCTGCCCTCTACTGGGTGACCCCGCGCGCTCACCGAAGTGCACTGCACTTCGGTGAGCGCGCGGGGTCAAGTCGGGCCTGTCCCTCTACAGGAGGAATATTCAAAAATAGTGCTCACCGAAGTGCTCTGCACTTAGTGCAGAGACGGCGAGGGTTAAGTCGGGCCTGTCCCTCTACAGGAGGAAAATTCAAAAATAGTCGAAAAATAGTCTGGGAACGATTTTTTTAACACAATTTCTGGCTATTTTGAGGTATTGTTTGACCATTTTTAATTTTTGTCCAAAATCCGCCTGTAGGGGGACATGCCCGACCTAAGGCGAGGGACCGCTGAACTGTAGGGTTGGGGTGGATGGGGTGTGGGATGGTGTTCAGTGGGGTAGCCTTTGGTCGATCATGCAGTCTTGCCGGCCTTTAGCAGTCGTCGTTTCATACGAACGCCGTGCGGACAGCAGAATTTTTCCATTTGCCAATTCGACAATCGTCAAGTTAGCAATGCTGCTGGCAGCCAGGGGAGTAGTGTCCTCGTGTTTGTTGCACGTTCTGGTGCCATTGGGCGCTATGTCACTGCTTGGTATTGCTTTTGCATTGCGTGCCCCAGTAGGCGTTTGGCCAGCTCGCACGCCCAAGAAGTGCGCGCAAGTCCACACCCGCGCCTCGTCCTGCTGGCGGTCCGAGGCACCTCTGCTTAGAAGCGGCCTCCGGGGCCTGCAGGGCAGCGCCGCGGTGGACGCTCCGCTCGCTCGCGGCGGCTGTTTTTGTGTTTTTTTGTTTTTACTCGACCGCCCTCTGCGGAACCGAGGGCGGGTCGCACGTGGAACGCGCCCGATGGGCAGCGGGGGGAGGAGGGACCGGGGAGCGCTTCTAGGGGAAGGAACAATAACATGAGCATAAAAATTCGGAGGTCCACGCGGATTTCTCGGATCGGCGCTGGGGCCCCCTGGCGGCGCCTCCGGCGCCGCCCCTGGCGCGCTCCGCGCGCCAGGGAGGGGGTTCCAGCGCGGATCCGAGAAGTCCGCGCGGACCTCCGAGTTTTACTGTTCATGTCACTGTTCGCCCCTCTAATTCACCGAGCGCGTTCCACTACTCGCAAAGTACCTACTCGCAAATGTGCGAACAAAAGCAGCGTTCGCCTCGATGTAATATATCGCAAATCCCCCACGGCGGATCCAGGCCACTTGCGAGTGGTGACTCTGCGAGAAGTGGAACGCGCTTGCCTCCTAGTGCGCTCCGCGTCGAAGAAGAGGCGCGGGGGAGGGCGCGCGCAGGCTCCGCTGCACGCCCGCCTGCGGCCACGCACCAGCTTGGTCCCTCGCCGCAGGCTGGCCATGTGCCATGGATTTGGCGACCGCGCGCCAAATCCATGGATCGCTAATCCATGTTTGCGCATTTTGGGTCATCTTGCGAAAACAGAAGGTCTCGGGGAGCGAGCAATGACATAAACATGAAAACTCGGAGGCCCGCGCGGATTTCTCGGATCCGTGCCGGGGCCCCTGGCGCCTCCGGCGCCGCCCCTGGCGCGCTCAGCGCGCCAGGGAGGGGGGTCCAGCGCGGATCCAAGAAATCCGCGCGGACCTTTGAGTTCTTATGCTTATGTAATTTTTCGTTCCACCAAGATCAGGCGTTCCAGGGGGCAGAATGGGAAGGCGGGAATGGAGGATATCGAGAAGGACGAGGACTGTGATGAGGTGGGCTCGGTGTCTTCTCGCAGTCTTGACGCAGCGGTTTCTCCAGATCTCGGTCTCCTCACTGCGGTAGCCAGTGAGGGTGGGGATGGCCACGCAGGCCCCCCTCAAGCGCCCGGACGTTCGACATCCATCGGTTGATAAGGAGAAAAAAAGGGGCCCCGAAGGGTCCCAAGATGCAAAGTCATTCATTTCCCATGGTTTTTGAAGGATTTTTAGCGTTTCCGTTTTTTCGGATTCCGACCACCCAAGACGGCCCAACAGGCCTCCACGACCGCCCTCAGGGATTCCAAGGCCGCCCCCAGACGGCCGAACAGGCCCCCCCAAGACGGCCCCACAAATCCCTGGCATTACCCAAGGAAGGCCCCCAAAAAGCTTCTCCAAGAGATCCCCAGAGGCCCCAAAGGTATCCCCAGAGTCCCGCATGACTTCGCAGGCGGGGGGTCACCAGCGGGGAGAAATAAATGTTAACACGACTGTCTACTGAATCTTGTATGTCTTTGTGACTCCTCGTCTTGACTTGAGCACCAATTCGTGCCTTCGGCGACGAACGCGTTGGCTTCAAAACCCAAGCTCCCCTTCATTCGGACACGTCCCCTCTACCCGACTGAATGCTAGACTTCAAGACAGGTAGAAAGTGAGCGCGCACGAAGCGCACGATGATTCCAGTATGTGCATACAAGTGGATGTATCGAAGACGCTTACGGCGAACCACCGCCGCCCCCTGCTTGCCTTTTGGGGCGCACCGATGTGGAGGAGCTTTTATGTCCAGAGCTTGGACAATCTATCGGACCACGCGTCCCCCGAGCCGTTGTGGAAACGCTTTGGGGAACTCTTGGAGGAGAAAGAGCAAGAGGAAGAGAGGGAGGAAAACCCAGGAGGAGGAGGAAACCTCTCGAGAGCCTGCTGGGGCCCTCTTGGGGCCTTCTGGGAGCTTCCTGGGGGCCTCTTGGAGGCCCGTTGGCGGCCTCCTTGTGCCTCCTGGGGGCCTCTTGAGAGCCTCTCGGGGGCCCCCTTGGCCGCCTGACGCCGCCTGAGGGGGCTTCCCCTGAACGGATCTGGGGCCCTCCTGGGGCGCAGCGGGGCTGCCTTGGAGGCCATCTTGGGCGTCTCGGAGGCCTCTTGGGCCGTCTCGGGGGCCGTCTTTAAGCGGCGAGCGAGGGGGGGGAAGTGAGAAGGAGAAGGCCTTCTCAGAAGGCGGCGGGGCTTCTCAGAAGCCATAGGGACCCTTTTGAGAAGTTTTGTTCGTCTTCAGCGAAGGCTTAGGACATTTCTCAGACGGCCCTGGGACTTCCGAGCCTTCTGAGAAGCCCCGCCCCTTCTCACTCCCCCCCCCTCGCTCGCCGCCTAGTCTTGGGGGGGGGGGGCGCTCCCGGGCTGGCACACGGGGCCATTTGGGAGGCTTCTCGGGCGATCTTGGGGCCTCTTGGGCCGTCTTGGGCTGTCGAATGGCCGAACAGAAGCCAACACCAAAATCCTTCTTCAAGCACCCAAGGGATTGCGTCACGCTTCGCGTATCCCCGCCAGCCTGGGCCTACCACGTGCACTGTCTGGTGGACTTCCGGGTGCTGTGGCCTTTCGCAGCCGCAACAGCACCCCGGGTTCATCCCCCCTCTTCCGGCAGGTTTGCGACGTTCCACGTTCCTCGGCAGCTCAGCTCCCCTAGCCAGTACACGTCGTTGGGACGGATTGGGCCTGGCGCCCCACTGGCGACTCGCTCATCGGGCTTCGCGCCTGCCCCCACCCAGTATGACGGGCACGTCTGCCCCGGTGCACGTCATGTCGCTGTGTGGGTTATGCCTCACGGCAGGCAACGAATTTCTCGACATTTTGTCAGACTGCACGTGCCCGAGCTTCGCAGGATGTCCCCTGCCGTCAGCTTCCCGCACAGCCCCGCGGCTGCTTAGTGAGTGGGCTGGCCGGCTAGCGGCGCGTCTTGTAGCTAATTAGACTTGCCCGTCGGCCCGGACACCCTGTTCGCCGCCTGCGCTCTTCGCTCGCGGCCGCGACCAAAAAAGAAGTATCCCCGCCAGCCCAGTCAGGAACCCTGCCCATGAGAGTTGACGGGAAAACGGGCGACGAGATACATGTAGTGAAGCAAAGCGGGCAACCAGGGTGAACGGAGAGATTTTTGGGAGCAAAGGGGCGGTTTGGGATGGCCTCTTCGGGTCATCCCTGGGGCCCGTATGGGGGGCGAGGGAAGGACGAGGAGGAGGAGGAGGAGGAGGAAGACGACGACGACTACGACGACGAGGAATAGGAGGAAAAGGAAACGGAAAAGGAAGTCGATGAGGGAAAGGACGAGGACGAGGACGAGGAGAAGATGGAAGAGGAGGACAACGGGGACGAGGACAGAGCCCTCGAGATCTTCTCTTGGAGTGACCTTGGGGCTCTTTTAGGGGATTTTGGGGTCCTTTTGGGGCTCTTTTGGAGGGTCTTGGAACCCTCTTGGGGCCCTCTTGGAGCCCTCTTGGGGGTCCCTTGGAGCCCTGGAGAGCCTCTTGAGGCAATGTTGGATGACATCGGTCAAAAGCGGGGGTCTCTTATTAAACCCCCGCCAAAGAGCCCTCGAAATCGCCTCTTAGGGCGCTCTTGGGGCCGTCTTGGAGGCCTCTTGAACCCCTCTTGGGACTGTCTTGTGCAATCTTAGGGCCTTCTTGAGGCCTCATAGGCGCATCGGAAGCGAAACGGCGAGAAGGCAATTACCGGAGACGTACCCAACCCTATCTACACGTAAGGCGACTACTTATGCGATCTGGTTATGCTTTATGCAGAAGGGCATTTGCGACACATGCAAAACTCGGGAAGGCGTCACGAAACAATGTCGGGCCACGCACATGCAACGCGGGGCAAGAGTGGAGAAGGAGGACGAGGAGGACGAGGAGGATGAGGAAGAGGAGGAGGAGGAGGAGGAAAAGGAGGAAGAGGGAGGAAGAGGGGGGAGGACAAGGAGGATGGAGAACGAAGAACACATGTTGTCGAAGGTAACAGCACCATGTGCTACATATGCTGGGTTCGCTCGTGGCGCCGTAGTGGGCGACAGGCGCCTGAGGAGGGGAAGGGCGGTGGGCGACTGATGACAACGCAATTTGCCCCGTGCCGCTTCAGCGCCCCGCGCTGTGTGATGCAATAGCGCTCCGCGCTGAATGACGGGGCAGCGCTGCGCGCGATGTGGGCACGCGCCCTTGCATGCTCGACTGGGCGCTCGTTGCAAGCGTCGCCGACGGAGCCGTTAAAGTTGTGCCCAGAACCCGCTTGCGGGTCTTCTCCCTTCATCAATGGAGGAAAAGCCACCCGGACCGGACAATTGGCGTTTACTGATCGGCCCTGGGCGTTTCCTAAACAGCCCTGCCCTATTCGACTCCCTCAGTGGGGGCGTTTAGTAAATTGCTTCGCGTGTCGGGGTGGTTACCATGGGGGGGATGTTTTGCCTTCTGGAAGTGGCAAGGCCGAGCGAGTGCGCCAAGTTCGTGGACTGCTCCCTGCAGTTCCCGGCGCGGGCACTTAACAGTGCGGAGGCAAGCGGCCAGGTCCGCGGGCGGCCCCCTCGACAGAAAGTACAAACCCCGGGCGCGGACGATGAAGAGGTTGTCGGGCGTCGTCGCTCTGGAGAGCACGTGCGCGCGCGGTGGCGGGCACAGGCGCGTTCAGAGCTGCCCTGCTATCCAGGTTTGGGACGCTACAACTGGACTTCACAAGCCCCGCGACAGACAAGCCACTTTCCGGTGTGCGTGTGACCCGGCCCGGGGGCGAGGACCTCGGGCGGAACCGGGCGGCCCGGGGGTCAGACGTCAGACCTCTGGGACGCAGCCTGACGTGGAGGTGTGGCCAAAATGGGTTCAAGTTGTCGACGTCTTTACGACAGGCGTCGATGATGATGCCCTCGTGCGTGGTCTGGCCCTGGCAAGCCGTCGACGCGAGCACCTTGGCGCGGCAGATTTGCAAGCCTGTTCGCGTGACCGTGGCTTGCGGAAATCGAAAGGGGTGGGCGTCTGCGGCGCCCAGGAGCCCATGGAAATGGCGACAGCGTCGCAGATCGCAGCCCCCCCGGGGCGGCGAGGTCTCATGGTGGACTGCGTGAGACGTCGCTCTGCTTGGCCAGACCGGGGCCCACGAAAATGGCGGCAGTTTCGCAGATCGCAGCCCGTCGGGGACGTCGAGGTCTCACGGTGGTCGGTGTAAGACGTGACTTTGCCAGGCCTCCAAGGAGCCCATCGAAATGGCGACAGCTCCCCACGAAAGTGGCAACAGCTGCGCAGATCGCAGCCCCCTAGGGGAGTGCGAAGTATCATGGTGGTCTGCGTAAGTCGTCACCCTGCTGAGCTTCCCAGGAGCCCACGAAAGTAGCGACAGCTTCGCAGTTCGCAGCCCGTCGGAGACGTCGAGGTTTCATGGGGTTTCTGCGGAAGTCGCCACCCTGCATGGCCTCCCAGGAGCCACCGAAAGCGGCGACGGTTCCGCAGTTCGCAGCCCCAAGGGAATGCGAAGTGCGAGAAGGCGTCATCCCCGACACGGTAGTTGGTTGCATTACTTGAGCGGGGTTATCACGACTACAGTGATTGATTTCTACCGGTGATCCTTTGGCCGACTTTTTCATGGGCAAATGTTTGTCCGACTGGTTTTGTCACCACGACGGGTCCGAAACATACCAGCGCATTGGAGCACGAAGAGGACGATTAGGATAAGGAGGAGGAGGAAAAGGAGGAGGAGGAGGAGGAGGAGGAGGAGGAGGAGGAGGAGGAGGAGGAGGAGGAGGAGGAGGACAAGAAGAGGAGAAGAGGAGGAGAGAGGAGGAGCAGGACAGGACGACGACGAGGAGGACGCGGACGAGGGGAGGAGGAGGAGGAGGAGGAGCAGAGGAGGAGGAGAGGGGGAGGAGGAGAGGATGAGGTCGAAACACGAGGGCGAGGAGGAGGAGGAGGAGGGAGGAGGGAGGAGAGGAGGAGGCGGAGGAGCAGGAGGAGGAGGAGGACGAAGAGGAGGGGGAGGAGGCGGAGGCGGACGTGGACGAGAAGGAGGAGGAGGCCGAAACACGAGGACGAGGAGGAGGAGGAGGAGGAGGAGGAGGAGGAGGAGGAGGAGGAAGAATGGAGGACGACGAGGACGAGGACGAGGACGAGGACGAGGACGACGATTTGGGAGGCCTCTGTGATGGCACCTCGGTGTGGAGCTGCTGGGAGGATTACATCTCGTCGGTGCTGTGCTGCCGCTCACTCGGGGCTGGCGCGGGAGGCGCGGGGCGGCGGCTTTTTTACTTCCGCCGCCCGCGGTGCTGCGGCGACTGCGGCTCCCCTTCCTGCGGCTCGAGGATCCCGAGTCGAGGTTCGAGGATCCATTCATCGCAGCAGACGATTCATTCTTCCTCCTCCTCCTTCTCCTCCTCCTCCTCCTCCTCCTCCTCCTCCTCCTCCTCCCCCTCCTCCTCTCTTCTAATCGCAACAGGCGGTTGGATCCGGCCTATCCGTGCTTCCAGTCCTGGCGTTCACCCTGGCATTGCGCACCAGAGGAAGTGGTAACCGTACTCTGGGTTTCTTCATAAGCGCGGGAGGCTCGTCGTCGCTCCGCGACGGGGGTCGGAGCGCCTTCGGCGCGCAGTGGCTGCCCGCGACGGGAGGAGGAGAAGGAGGAGGAGGAGGAGGAGGAGGAGGAAGG